ATGCTATGTACGAGTGATGGTATGTGTGCTAATGTTTGCATACACAGATTGTATTGTATCTGAGGCACATATCACAAGGCAGAAACATTAGTGAGGAGCACCTTTTAAATCGGTGTTACCCACAGTAAATGGTCACTCAGTAAGTGCGGAAACATTTATAAGGAAAGAAATTAATTCAATTTTGGAAATCATTATTTGGAAATCATTATTGTTCAAATCCAGAGCAACCATTTGTACGAAAATATTTGATAAAACGTTCTCCGGTGGCAAGTTCAATGATATAAACGAATATTTTAATCTTGAATATGCAGGTTGAAAGGGGAAGGCAATATCGTCAACTTCCTGTATTTATTTCAATCAAACTTGAAATTATTTTTTGTTTTTTTTTGTAATGAACTTTAATGAACCACATACATATGTACCATTTTGGTCGACTTTTTGTGCCATTTTCCGGTAAAGACATTATGCCATCAGTGTAAAACTTTTATGGTTTCTCGGCGAAAAAATACGACAAGCAATTTTCACATTCTACTCTTGAAGCCAACTTTGCTCCATTAAAAGAGTTCTGCATTGACCGAAACAAATGGTATTCCGATGTTGCAAGGTCCAGGCTATATGGTGGATGCATCAAAACTTCTCAGCCAAGCTCGCCCAGCTTTTGCCGGGTCATCAAAGATATGTGTGGTCTAGCGTTGTCCTGATGGAAGACGAAACCCTTTCTGTTGATCAGTTCTGCCCCTTTTTTCGATTGATTTCTTCAATCTCATCCGTTGTTGGCAATAAAATGTAAAATCCATCGTTCGACCAGCAGCTCATAGTGGATGATTCCTTTCCAATGCCACCAAACACTAAGTAGAACCTTTCTAGGCGTCAATACTGCCTTTGCGACCATTTGCTGAGCTTCATCACGCTTGGACCCTGATCTTTTCCGCAAATTATTGTCGTATTTGACTCACATTTCGGCTCCTGTTACCATTCGTTTCAGAAATGGTTCGAGTTCATTTTGTTTCGAGGTTAGTTCGGTCCATTAAATTGTTCACAGACAATTCATGTGGTACCCAAACATCGAGATTCTTTTATCATGTAACGGGTTAAAACCCGTTTGATGATTAACGCTCAGTTCTTAGCCATGTCATGGCTGCTTATGTGATGGTTTTGAGTCAATCTTTTCCCTAATTTCATCGAATTTTTCAACGATAGATCGACCAGAGCGTGGTGCGTCTTTCACGTTGAAATTTTCAGAACGGAAGCGAGCGAACCATTATTGAGCTACACGAACTGATACAGCATTGTTTCGGTAAACTTCATAAATTTTATTGGCGGCTTGCTTGGCATTCTTCCCTTTTTGATACAAAAATGTCAAATTATAGCGAATTTCTCCACTATTATCACTGATTTTTGAACAGTAGTAATTTTTTTTTTTTTTTTTCAACTTCCCCAAATTTAATTTTTTGGTTAAATTAAGCTCAAAATCTGACCTTTTCAACACTATATGGTTTGGCACAATGTAGTTGGTAAGACTGGAGATATATGACTGCAACGACATCTATTGACGAAATACGAAAAGGCTTTTTCGACTACCCAATATATAATATACTACAGATTTGAATTATTGACAGATGCGAGGATCAAGATTATCTAATTGCCTCCGTCCTTCGCAGAGACACTAAATAATTGCACAATAGTTTTCGCGTTGCCCGTTTAGTATTCCGTGCAAGAGTGCTTCGCACGTTTCAAACACCGAGTACCGAAAGGCGCTTCCCTAATGTGAATGGGCTGCCATGCATACTTATTTAGCGAGACGGGGGCGTTGTAACTACTTACGGTTTTTTAATTACCATGCTGCTCACACTTCTTGCTTATTTTCGCAGTTGCCAGTGCATAAGTTTTAATTAAAATTATTTCTCCTGCATTTTTCGATGTTTTGTTGTTATTTGCTTTTTTCTCTTTCTCTGGCGTTCGTTGTTTTTTCGTTGTTGACGCGGCCACCATCGCCTTCACGGCCGTCCACATTGCCATTTGTGGCGCAGCTGGTGCCATATTCTTTGCTTTTACTTCGCTCAATATTTGTTGTAGCCGGAGCAAGCACTGCTGCGCGCTCTGCGCCCCTCGCCAGGCCCAACTGACGCTTGTTATTTAACGCTGCTGGATTTGTGTACTATTGGCAGACGGGTTTGTTAAATTACTACTGCTTTTGTTGTTGTTTTGCTGCTGCTGGAGCTGCTGCTTTCCCCGTTGTTTACTATTTTCAGGCAGCCTGAGTATGTGCTGGTGTTTCCTGCTTTCCAGCTTTGTTTTCAAACAAGTTTTTGCGGCGTCGCTGAATGGCGCAATATGGCTGGCATACACCGAGGCTTCCGATACACATACATATGTATGTATATGTGTAGAAACTACAATATTCTCGTATGTATCGCCTGTATACACAATTTCCATGAAGTTTGTATGGCTTTCTGAGGTTTGTGTATAAAAAGCGCTTATAACTTTTCCACAACACTTTTTAATGATTAAGTATTTTTTTTTTATTTTTAACTTTTTTTTCTATATTTTTTTTGTTTTTTTTTTTTTATTTGGTTTTTTGTTTATTGTTTTCTGCTTTCATTGCTGCTTTTGCTTTGGAGTGTCCTTTTTGCAACTTCTGTAAGCGCATTGTTGTATTTGCTTTGGGTTCAGCTGCTCTGGCTGTGCACAGCATGTAATGACATTGCACGTTGCAAATCATTGCGACTGCAGCTGCAGACAATGAATTCTGACAGCAACAGTGTTTCTCACGCACACACATGCAACATTTTGTAAATACTTGTGCAAGTGGTGTTGTGGGTGTGGAGGTAGAAGAGCGCAAGCATACGCCGGCGAGTCAACAATCAGCGGCAACAGTCGCGCTGGCTGAGACAGAATAGCAACAGCAAGGCTTTAAGCCGCACACACACACGCGCACAGCTGTTGGTGTTTGTACGTGTGTCCCCAAGTATATTCATAAGTATTGTGTCTATTTTTGTTTTTGGCGAAGATAGTCTGCTGAGTCTGCCATATCAATGTCGAAGAATGCCGGGGGAGCACTTAGAGACAGACCGCCGGCATGGCTCATATGTGAGTACAGACATATGGATGTATGTTTCAGTCACATGCGTTTAAAGTACAACATTAAACATATGTATGTATGTATTTTGCACAAAGATGTGGGTTAGGGTCGGGTAGCGAAAAGTGCTTTGCGTTTTCGAAATTATCAATATTATATTCCGAGCTCAGCCCCGCTTTCGCGCAGGTAATTTAAGAGAAAACCTTTCATGCCACGAACAATTCTTTTCGTATTTCTAATCAAATTTAAATTTTTTTATATTTATACTTATTGTTTTTAAGGCTTATTGCTTGAGACAACTGTAGGGCACTACTAGAGCTAGAAAATATATTTTCTGTGCACTCTTCATTAATGAGAAAAAAATATCAGGTATAAAACGAAACATATTATAGTATCGAGGTTTGGGTGAGACATATATAGAGACATTAAAATCATACCTCACTAAATTCGCAAATAAATAAGACTTTCTGCTCACACTCACTCCCAAATGACCTTGAAATCGTTTTACCTTAGAAAAAACTACAGCTTTTCATTCCTTAATATGCTATTTTTCCATTTCTGTGGAGTTATTTTAATCATAGCCTAACGACACGAATTTTCCAGGTAATCTGATAATTTTCTTTCCAACAAATTAAGTTTTAGAATAAAAATTTAGACCAGAGTGTGGAGTGTTGCAGGGGACCATTCAATTTCTTTTTAATTGTCGCAAAAATCACTAAATCTGAAGTCATCGATAAAGCTCTACGTAGAATAGTTAAAGCGCTAAAAAAGCGTTTAAATCAGAGTTTGCCAATAAAAGAGTAAAAGCTTAAAGTTTTAGCTCTTCACAATATTCCTATTATATTTCTTCTAACCATCAAGGCGAAACCTTCTAAATAGTAATTCGCTTTAGAATAAAGTGGCAAGCATGTGTCAATTATTATTCCTAAATTTCTTAGTATGCATATGAAAGCTCCATAAATTTCTTGATCTTGTACGTATGAATGAAATCTTAAAATTGTATGGCTTGAAAATATTTATCAAAGTAAAAGGTGAAAGCTTCTGAAGCAGCTTCAGTAACACCAAAAGCTTCCAACAAAATTTTGTTTTAGTGAAATCTCAAAATTGAGTGGCTTCTGCAGAAGTTTCAGAATCACCAAAAGCTTCGAAAAACTTTTTTTCTCACAAGTAAAGTATCTTTAAAATATTGTTGTTATAATTAGCTATGTAACAAAAAGTGAAAGCATACTTTACAAATGAAAGCTTCGTAAGTTTTCAAAAACTTACTTATTTATAAAAGATACTTTCTGACAATAATTGGCACATTTCACTTAAGACAAAAGCTGGTTTGTAAAAATCTGTTGCATAAAGAGTATCAGAAGTGAGAAATAAGAGCGATTTTAAGAGCATAAATTTAACAAAAACAATTTATAATAAAAGTCGAGAAGGTCGTGCAAAACATGTTTAATCAGCGTTGTTGTTTTCTTGTTGTAAACAATTTATTCGAAGTAGCTAACTAAGCGGAGAAAGGCACAATTGAACTTCGGTCGCGATGCAATCCTCATTTACTTGTCTAACTAAGCACCAGCTCAGGGTTTGGATAGCAAAACAATGGCCAAACATTGCCCCTTCCCAGCTCACATGCTGAGACTGCTGAGACTGCTTTGAGCAAACAATGGAAACCACATACACATACTCAAGTTCAGGAGGGTTCCTAATAATCCTATTGCATTTCTTTTGATTTCTAAAATCACATGCGCATCTTTGCACATATTATATACCTTATATTCTTAACTATATGTAAGCATAACACCCTGTCTTAAAATAATCACACACACATATATGCTTCGCTCCCTACATGATATTTTGCTAACCGATTTATATAAAAAGCGCACATGCTCACTCACACATATATTAAATATCTCTGAGCAAGTTCAATTACCTTCCGTTTGATGGGAGTGGAAATCCGTCCAGTGTCCATGAAATTTGCGGTGTTGGATTTCCGGCTGCCGAGCACTTCAAGCTCACAGCCGGTCCCGGCTGCAGCGTTTGTTCGATGAAGCTATAAAGCAGCACTGGCGGCGCATCTACAACAAAAAAAAGCGCAAAAATAGGCAAGCATCAAAAATAGTTTCATAGAAAAATTCTGCAAACATATAGAAAAAGGACAGACAGCCATGCCAGTGCATAAGCGGCGCAAGCGAGGGGCCGAGCGGCTGGCTGCACGAATGACTGAGTGCAAATGAATGAATGCGGTGAATGCAAATGACAGAACAGCAGTGGAAAATGCGGCGCAGGCAAATTGCATAAAATGGAGCACACAAACGAACTTATTGCTTTTCAACTCTGCTTTATTTGTCGGCAAACACATACATTCTTATAAATATACATATAAACGAATGTGCGGTATATTTACTCAGAAGGCACAAAATTAAAGCAAATAAACCGGTTCGTAAATAACCAATAAATTTAAACACGAGCACAAACATGAAGGCGCATACATTTTCGAAATTGATTGGCGAAACAACGTTGAAATCGAGTTATCAATGGTAACAAAATTTTGTTGAGCCTGTTAAAAGTTGATTTTATCAAAATAACTCCTTCCTTTTCTCTGTACTAAAATTTTTACAGAATTTTTTTTTTCTTTTATTTTTTTTACTTCCTTTTAGAAGTCCCATTTAGAATGTCATCTAAATTTTATTAATTTTAAATCTAATCAAAAGTTCCAAGAAGGTCCAACGTTTTTAATCAAAATTTTGTTCAGCAATTACGCTCAATTCTGGCTCAATGGGTTTGTAAAGAACCAAAATTTTCCGCATTGGGACGCAAAGCAACCTGAAGAGATTCAAGAGCTACCATTTCATTCTGAAAAATTAAGGTTTGGTACGGCTTGAGGCCAACAATATCTATATCATCGACATACGCCAGCTGCCGTACACTCTTATAGAAGATTTGTACCCTTCGGTTTAGTTCTGCAGCTCAAATTATTTTCTCTAGAAGTACATATGTTAAAGAAGTTACACGAAAGAGAGTCGTCTTGTTTAAAACCTCGTTTGATATCCAAAGAGCACGGAGAGGTCCTTCCCGAAAGCAGCTTTGAAATCGACGAAAAGATGGTGTGTTTCGATTCTCTTTTCATGGGTTTATTCCAAGATTTGGCGCATGGAGAATATCAGGTCAGTTGTTGATTTTCCAAGCCTAAAGCCGCACTTAAAAGGTCCAATGAGTTTGTTGACGGTGGACTCTAATCTTTCACACAATACGCCGTCTCTTTTCGTAGAATTTCCGAGCATTATCCCTATCGGCCAACTTATCAAACTCTTCGTACTCACGTATTTCCGCCTCTCACTTTTTTGTCTGCAGATGTTCCTCACTTTCTTCTTCAACTCCCCTATCTATCTCGTCCCTTAAGTATTGTGGTCGATTGTAACGTTGCAAGGCAAGCAGTCTGTTTTCTCTCCACTGCGACACGGCACTCTTCATTGTATCAGCTCTTTACAACTGTGCGCAAAGAGCTTAAAATGTCGTCCCACAGTTCGGAATTGCTGACGAACCTTCTTTGTGTTTTTGAGGTGCAATTTTGCTGGACAGAGGCGGGTGCGTATCTTTGCTTCAGCAAGATAGTGGTCCGAGTGGATGTTCGAACCTCGGAGCGTATGCACGTGTAAAATACTGGAGAGGTGTCTTTCATCTATCACAACATGATGGACCTGGTTGGTGGCTTTTCGATCCGGAGGCAGCCAGGTGGCTAGATAATATTTCCTACGCTTGAATCTAGTACTACAGATAACCATATTTCGAGCAACGACGAAGTCGAAAGAGGTAGGGAATATCGAAATGGACCAGCTTTTATTTTTGAAATGATTTATTGAAACTCACCGATAGTGATTCTTCATTTGTGTATAGCAAAGTACTCGACACAACAACGCTTTTGTACTTGGCGAGGTCAAATCGCAGTCAAAAATCTAACAGACAAGCCAGTTATCAGCCAGTTTTAAAGAAAGTTCCTCCGCTTTTTAGAGAAAATATAAAATTTTTGAATTCTGCTAGCGACTGCCTGAATTTCGAACAGCTTAAAAGGAGCTGTGCCAACCAGCTCGCGATACGAAATTGCTCACAGTAAATGTTTTTCAATATTTTCTCAACAAGAAGAAACAATTGCTTTTGGCTTTGCAAAGTATCTTTAACTGCACCTTTCAAAAATATATCGAATTTGTTTACCATGCATTAAATTAAGCCAATAATATTCCATCACTATCCATTCGAATATTAATATGTGTTTTTGTACGTCTGTGGGCGTATAGTTTTCTCTCCATTATCAGGAGGATATTGTTGTGCATATTTCTCCTACATTCTCATATGTGGAGAGTCCGTCTGAGGTTTTTGGATAATCGGAAATGAGAATAATTTCCATGGTCATTACTCTATGCAAAATGGAGTAATTTCCGTTTAGTTGTGTCTGTATGGGTTGGTGTGAGAAAGCAACGGAGCACAAAATAACTACAGTAAACCGGAAATTAAGCGAAAATCCATTATTTTCCATCGCCCATGAATGATGTTCACCACAAATCAGACGATTTTAAAGCAATTATTATGGAGGATAACATTAAAATTTTACAAACACACACATACATATGCACACGTATGTGTTAGTTAATACACGAATATGCACAATGGTCTCACAGCGAAAAAGCGGAGCAAAGTGTAGCTATTCAAAAAGCTTTTGGTGAATATGAATGGGGCAGAAATCGAAATCGATAAAAATTAATCAAAACCGTTTCCACGACTTTGAATAATAATCATAAACATAATAATAATACATAATAATATTAATATAATATAATTAAAATAATATTTTGACGTATTCTCACCTCCTAGTTGCAACTCCGCTGTCGCCTGAAAGGTGTCGCCTTCGGGTCGTCGCACCACACACTGGTACATGCCGCGATTTTCACGGCTTACACGCGTCACCATTAGTGTGTCCTCGATGCGGCCCGATGAGGGCAGCTGTCGTCCGTCTTTGTACCAAAGTATATTCTGCATACCGACCGGACTGCCGTTGCTGGTCACAATGCAGCGAAACTCCGCGTTGCCGCCCATATGTACGCTCAGTATATTCGGTGAGATCTCCACTTGAATGGGCGTGGCAACAGAGAGTCGCAATTCGGCGCTCGCCTCGCCGCCCACATTGCTGGCGGTGCATTTATAAACACCCGAATCTTCACTCGTCACCGCCTCAATGGCGAGTATGGGACCGAGCAGCCGAACACGCGGCCCGCTAAGCACAGGCAGTGGGCCGGGGCCGTTATGGGTGTACCAGCTGAAAATGAGAGTGTATCTTGTAAATCAATCACTTATTAAGAAATAGTATGTGAATGAAATTCTTTGTATTTGCATTTGCTTTTTAAATTAATTTATGAAGTGCTATATTCGATTTCCTGTCGTACGCATTTCATAATTTTTTAATATTTCTTATTACCTCGAAATATACAAGTTAAAGGCATTATTATACCCTGAACAGGGTATATTAAGTTTGTCACGAAGTTTGTAGCACCCAGAATTAAGTGTCGGAGACCCTATAAATTTATATCTAAATGATCAGTATGTTCAGCTGAATCGATTTAGCCATGTCCGTCTGTCTGTAAGTCCGTCTGTCTGTATATACATGTACGAACTAGGTCGTCAGTTGTTAAGATATCGTTTTGAAATTTTGAATATGTCATTTTCTCTTCAAGAAGCTGCTCAACACTATAACATAGCTGCCATACAAACTGAACGATCGGAATCAAGTTTATGTATGGAAAGCTTTCCCATTTGATAATGTATCTTTACCAAAGTTGGTACAAGTTATTTTCTAGGGCAACAATGTAATCTCCGAAGAAATTGTTCAGATCGGCTCACTATAGCATATAGCTGCCATACAAACCGGGGGCTTGTATGGAAAACTTTCGCATTTCACGTGGTATCCTCACAAAATTTGATATGGATTACTGCTTAAGGTAATAATATAATTTCCGAAAAAAATTGTTCAGATCGGATTACTATAGCATATAGCTTCCATACAAACTGAACACATAGTTACTAAAAGAAATGCACCTTTGGTGCAGCCGAAGTTAACGATTTTTCTTGTTTTTATATTATATACAAATATTATTAAAACCTAAAATGTTTACGTGGCAAGAATAGCAAATTTCACACTGCGAATATCTTCGAGGGACTTTACCCTACAACGAGCAGTCAACACTTTTACTTGATTTACTCACGTCTTTCTCCGTCTAACTTTTTCGCAGTGTGCCATTTTTCATATATACATATTTTATTATTGATGTAAATTCAGTCAAGTGCAAAAAAGCTGTCAGTACTCATCAATCAAAAGTTATTAATTCACCCGCCGCTGCCTGCTCAAAAACAACGCTTCGCCATTTGCTAAAATGCATACACATTGGCACACTGGATTGTGTACAAATAATGAGTGCAGGACTTGGTCCCCCATTTTGCTATTTGAGCACCCTAACGCGTTCATATTTTATTTATAAATACATTGAAGCGTGTTTGCCTTTGTGAAAAGAATGCTCGCACGTTTAATTGCTTTCTTCTTTAATGGAAAATACAAACTTGTAGGCTTTGAAAATACGTGATAAACCCTGAAACCATTAGATATTTTTCTTGGTGTAGGATCAGTTATGATTGTAAGGTGAAAGATAGTTGAGCACAAAGCTTTATTAATGCACATATTTTTAGAAAGATACCCGATAATAAGTACTTTGCGGTTTGGCATAAGACTGAGTTCAAAAAATGCTCCTTCAATATTGAGATATTTTATAGTTACTTATGTAAATACAACCGCTAGTCTCAAATAAATACAAAAATACAATACGAAAAAGCATTGCAGACACATAACTATGTCTGTTTGTATATGGAACTTTGTGGTTCACAATGAGCCACTTGAAGGAGTGATATGTTGTAATAAGTGTCTTCACGAAATTCTGCGCGATTTATTTGCAGTTGCACTTGTCACTGACAAATTGAATTCCAGACATTTCCGTCGAATGCTCGCTCCAGACATTTTAAACATAAACAAAATTCGCTGACAGGCAAATGTAGCTGAGCAAGCGCATTTAGTTTTCAGCGCACTTGTGTAAAAACGCCCGCGATAACATCGCGTTTTAAGCGAAGTCGCGCAGAGTGCAGCGCCGCCATAAAGTGAGACGTAAAAGGGCGGCAAGTGCCACTACAAATGCACGCGTAACGGCAATGCGAAGTGGCGGAGCGTTTGCGAGCAGTGACAAATCTGGCCATTGCGACGAATACTTCTATTTATCTTACGCAAATAAACAAGCTCACCAAGTAATACACCGCAATGCGTGTGTGCGATGGTGTGTATAGCAACTGTCTGTCAGCTGTATCTGCGCTTGCCGCTCGAAGCTCGGAGTAAATGGTAAATGGCGGCGTTGACACTTCTGACGCAAATTTATTATTTTCGTAGCGAAACATATGCAATCAACCGAACTTCAGCACGCTTAAGCAAACAAACACGCTGACAAGCGAAGCACTCATACGAAAACAGACAACAACAACAAAAGGCAAACAGTACAACAGCAAAAAGAAAAGGGATCCTTCAAAAAGTGGTAAAAGGCGCCTGACATCAGAAGCAAGAGCGCTGAAATCTGCAGAAGAAGCTTCGCAAATCCAGACAGTTGCGACTGGGAATCACTGCCGGAATGGCAAACGTAAGCGTAAGCACAAATGGTTAAGTGAGCAACATTGTTGTGTCTTATTAGAAGGATTTCGTGGTGCGAATTTTGAAAATCGAGTTATGACTAATTTTTTTAACGAAATGTAGTTTGTATTATGATGAGATCCTAACAACTGAGATTTTAAAGCTTTGTTTAAGGTTGGAATAAATCCTGTCAAGGCTCATGAATGTTTCAAATATTTCATTTCTGTTATGAAACATATTTATTTTCGTCAACAAAATTGTCAGGTCGTTTGAGCTTTTCTCCTTGCTAAAAACATAAGCACAGGAACACCGCCTAAAATCTCACACTTTCAAACGCCAATTACAAAGAAATTAATAAATACACACAAAAAGTGCTATAGAGTATGACAAATCTAAATAATAATAATAATTAATAAAAAATTTCTAGAAATTTCACCCTCAGACACGCCTGCAGAATTCCACTATAATTTAAATGTATTAATATGCATTTAGGCACACAAAATTATTTAAAAATTTCTATAAAAATAACTTGAAATATACAAATTATGTGTAAATAAAGGAAGCAAATAACCTCACTAAATTAGCTGACTTTAATTTAATCACATCACACATTGTAAGGTATGAAATTTATGCCGCATCACGTATACGCCCCGTAGTCCTAATGCCCACTTGCTTTCAACAAGCCAAGTAAGCAAAGCAGCAAGCAAGCATTTTAACAAATAAACAGCTCGAGTGATTTCACGACAAACACTTTCGCATGTGTGTGGCGAAACCGAAAAGTATCTCTGAATAAAAAATTTCAAAAATATAAACTTAGAAGGGTTTCAAAACCATTAAAAATTATTACGACACAGACATGCGCTGCTAGGGCAACTGAGTCTACTGATTAGATAAAAATTGTCTGCAGTCAGACACGTTCCTCATCTTACATATTAACAGTTGCATTCGAATAACGCAAAGAATTATGGCCAACGACTCAATGCGCTCGTCTGTGTAGCAGTATCAACACAGTTATTCAACGACGACAGCAAAATGACGAAATAAAAAGCTCAGACCAAATGCTTGCTGCGACCTCCACCCATTTTCGTCACAAAGCAAAAGTCATATGCTCATATACTGAATTCTTCAGTGCAAAGATGAAAGAGAATTTCATATTATTCATGGACATTTCTCACTCGCATCACATTTGTCACTGAGTTTGAAGCGATATAGAAGGTTTTAAGAATACAGTTACACAGTTGTAATTTAATAATTTCTTGAAAAATATTTATTATTAAAAAAACGAATGAAAACTATTGTATATCATACAAAGCATAAATGTACAACACACGCGTCATGAACAGTGAAGTGTACTAAAAGCCATTACTGGAATTTTCGTTGGCCTCACAAAAGCATTGAATGGTCGAATTTCTTATATATACATACATTATATATACTATATATATATTATATTCATATGTGTGTATATCACACGTGTACTTCAAGTAAGAAATATTTCTGTCAGTCATTCAGTAATTATCGCCAGGCATTCTTTTGTTAGAAAATACATTTTATATCTCAACGTGGCAAATGCCTGCCATAATTTTCGGCATTAATATTGCGGCGCCAGCACCTTTGTGTTGGTTCGACCATTTATGGCAGAGCCCGTTCCTCTCGACTGCCTGCACAACTCGCATCATTCTGCAGTTGCCAGTTCCGATTCTTAATTATTGTACATTGTATTGTAAGGGGAGAAATTGGTCTCAAATAATTGAAGACTGGTGAGTTTGGGATGCATACGGAAAGTAGTGCGAACAAAAATATTCAGATATCAGTTGGAGAAAACCTAAGAAAATATAAAGTTCACTCTGCATAGTTTTACCAACAGATTAAATTTTTACCTCACTTATACCAAAGGTGAACTCGAATATGCTTAAATAGGATTCAACAGCGTTGCAGAAATTTAATAAGAGATATTTTTCCGTAGGCATTCTGATCTATTATGTGACTTATATTGGGGAGTCGAAAAATACTTTTCGTATTTTTAATCAAACTTCAACGTGTACCATTTTGGTGGACCATTTTTTGTCATTTTTCGGTTTTTTTTTTCTTTTTACAGGCTTCTCTTGAAACCAACTTTACTTTAAAAAAATTTCCAAGCCAATCTCACCCAGTCATTTGCCGAGTCATCATAGATGTGTGTGGTCTAGCGTTGTCCTGTTGGCAGATGAAGCCTCTTCAGTTGCTCAGTTCTTGTAATTTTTTTTTTTTTTTTTTTTGGTTTCTCCACTAAATTTTTCGCCGAAATGGGTACATCGAGCTTCTTTTTGTAACCAGCCTTTCTTAAATGCTTCCAAACCGTTTGATGTTGAATTTAAAGTTCCTAAGCGATATCATAGCTGCTTATGTAGCGGTCCCGGTTAATCATTTCCATAATATCATCGACTTTTTCAACGATATGTCGACCAAAGCGAGGTGCATGTCATTCTTCTGTGTTTTATACAAAAATTTCAAAATATGTATACCGAATTATTCTTCATTATTTTCACTCATTTTTAAACGCCAGTAACTTTCTTCAACTTTCCCGAATTTAAAATTTTTTTTATTAAATGGAGCCTGAA